CACACACACACACACACACACACACACACACTCACACACACTCACACACACTCACACACACACTCACTCACTCACTCACTCACTCACTCACTCACTCACTCACTCACTCACTCACTCACTCACTCACTCACTCACTCACACACACACACACACACACACACACACACACACACACACACACACACACACACACACACACACACACACACACACACACACTCACACACTCACACACTCACACTCACACACACACACACACACACACACACACACACACACACACACACACACACACACACACACACACACACACACACAGATTTTTTTTCTTTAACTCTTGTTTTAAAGTTAGCAAATTTCTTTTTATTTATGTAATGGCACCTCTAAAGAGAAATAATTTTGTAATAGATCAGAACTGATGTTATAGCCACCAGATGTGCTTTTGAATCTTTAAAAGTTTATACAGATCCAGAAACAGACGAAAGGCAGACCAATTCTGTTCTGTTATGTTATAGTCTTTGTGTATCATTAATACTGAAAATCAACCAGACCCCTTTTTGATTAACTCATTATCCAAGGGTGATTGGTCATGACACTGGAAATGGTAGTTTAATATTCTTTATTGTTTCTTTCTTTCTTCCTTTCTTTTTTTCATTTATTTTGTCTTTCATTCTTTCTTTCTTCTTTTTTTACTTATATTCTTTCTTTTTAGGAATTGTTTATGTTTTAGGCTTGGAAACATGGATTGAATATGTGATCTCAATATAGTAAGACATGCTCTTTGTAAAAGTATGAATTATGATTTGCAGATTATTTTGTCCATTCGGGAATTGTGTCGGCGAAATATGCGATGGCCTACTATCCATTTCAGCCACTTTTTCACTATTGGTATGCTTGTAAGAGCAACTTTATTGGTAGGTAATCATTAATTAATTCTTACATTTATCTTTACTCTGAATGTTTACTTTATTTTTGATATGGCATTTGATTTTTTATTTTTAAATTGAAATAAAACTTATTTTTGAGACATAGTATTGATATCAAATCTACAGATGACATATGTTTTAAAACTGTGGTACCATAGAGTGATTTATCATGCTATATAAATGATGATATTAATTAGTAGGTCTGTATGATCTTTTTGTCTATTTACATAGGCATATCTGGATGTTCATATAAATGAACTAATTATTATTATTTTTTTTTTTTCAACTTCTTTTTTCTTTCTTTCTTTCTTTTTTTTACAGATTCTTGCCACATATTTAACCATAGCTTTCCTTGTTAATGTGCTTCATGGATTTCGAGACGGATATGATGAACCTGTTTTTCGCTATCCAGAATATTTTTTCATGCCATGTGCTGTGGCGTGTTTGTATGGAGTACTGGTTGCTTTTGAAGCTTTTACCTCCCAGATATTTGGTCACGTTCATGATAAAATGGTAAGCAAAGATGCTGTCTCAATAATAGGTAAACTAATTAAAAGAATAGAAGACAAGTTGAATGGAAGATCATGCTCAGGATCATACAGAACATTTGCTTTCTACAGGGTTCAGCTAGGGACTAGTGCCCCCTTGTTTCATTATGCCTTCATGGTCTTCTATTCAATACACAATCCTCTATCAGATGGGAACTAGGTTATTGTAAACAATTGTTAGCAGTGATCCTAAGTAGATTGAATTTCAGTTGATTTGTATCCTAACTTTTAGGGCATGTGTAAACATGCCAGCTCATATTATGTGTGGCAATAGACACTTGTTTCCATACCATATATATACCAATAAAGTTATAGTTTGTAGCTTTGATACAGACATGCATATTATATATAAGGCTTTCATGATATACTATGATCAAAATTCCTGCAAAGGGATGCAGCTACCACATGCTGAACGACAGTAAAGCTATAATAGATGATTGGATGATGATGAAGTAATATACATAATTCTGGTGAGAAGGCCATTCTTGTTGTAACATGCCACCTGTTGATATTAAATTTACTAATACATCTATTAGAAGGCAACTTTATTTTTTTGTGTTGATTTCAGATGGGCATCAGTGGCTTGGTAATGAGTGCAGGTTATGCCGTTGTTGGTATTATCTTTCTTCCGCCCATTGCAAATAATATTATGGATGAATATAGAGCTGAACCAGTTTTGATTTTCTCTTGGGTGTGCTTTAGTGTGAGCCTGATTTATGCAGGTCTCTGCTTAGTTGTTCCAAAGGCACTGAATACACCCCCAGCCATTATAAGATATCTTGCATATGGAATGTCACATATGAAATGTTGGGGACAATCCAGTGAAGTAAAAGGAAAGGAAGCTTGTAACTGCAAGATATTCAGTAAAATTGCTGCCTTGTGGGAAAATCTGAAAAAAAGTGATTCCTTAAGGACAAATTTGATTCTTGTGGTAAGTAAATTCTCCTTAGTTATGATAAGCTAATGATATTATGTCAAGTTCATTGCCAGAATTGAAAGCAATATAAGAATGGGAATTATCATTTT